AAAACAGAGGGAGTATATGTTTAAGAGTATTGTGAACACAAATTATAGGGTTAGTTTATTTAATTAAATGTGAAATTTTTACAAAATACTAAAACAAAAATCTCGAGCATAATTTAATACAAAATATTTATAATTACATGGTCCAACAAAGACAATGTAAAATAACCTGATAAAAAATAAGTAACAAAAATAAAATTAGATAACTTATACTAAAACAAACAGATTAAAATATCTATATCAACAAAATAAAAATAGACACAGTTTCATTAATAATCTCAAAAATCTTGTAAGAAAATTTAGTCATCTGATGAAACTGATTTTTTTTTGTCTTTTATAGCAAACAAATTCAACAAAAAATAATAATAATTTTTTTTAAAAAAATTTACAAAAATAACATTCCATATATTAGTTAGACTAAAATCATTTAAACTAAAAACAAATGATTAATCATATGATGATATATTCGTTACCTTGGCGGCCGTTCTCTGAATACACATTTGCGTTTAATGAGATATACAAACTTAGTCGACATTTAACACACAATTACTCATTCCCCTATTTTCCTCACATTTCATACTATACTATGACTTTCTCGCCTACAATAGTACATTATATGATTTCCCCTTCATAACATTACAAGAAATATCAATTCTAAAACTACAACAACACATATATTTATCAACATCCCCGCGCTTGCGCGGAGCTACACACATAATATTTATAATGATTGGGTATTAGATCTAAAGAAACCAAATATTATAGGACATAAAGAATATTCAAAAATATTTGTTTATTACTATTTCAACCAGTTATTTAAATACATAAGTTGGTAACAAAATATAGACTATTATGCAAGTTGAATCAAAAAGTTCAATCCATGAAGGTGTTTATATACTAGATTATCATTTCCTTAAATGTATAATTATGATGGTCACACAAATTTTTATGTCTTTGTTATAAAATTGTATTTTGATCTATTCATGCATACAATTTGGTTCACATTGTATAGTCTTTGGAAACTTGATAAACAAATTAAGATGGATTATTTTTTTTAAATGGTTAAACAATAAATAACAACTTCAATTAAATATTTATATGGTTTTTGACATAAGTTCATAATAAAAATATGTTTACTAAAATTATTTTTTTGTTTGTTATTAAATGCGATGCTATGTGACAAGAAGTGTTTTAAAACCAGAACAAGCTGGTAGGATCCCGACTCTCTCTCTTCTAAAAAAAATTTGAGTTGTGCTAAAAAACTAACAAATTCGGTTTAAAAACTGGTTACTCGATAAAACCGATGGTCCAATTTGATATTAAACCCTGATTTTTCTTTTCAAAATTCAAGTTGAAAATGTTAATTTTTGAAAAACTTTCATAAAAACCTGTATTGTTTTTAATATTTATTTAAATACATTATTTTTCATTATATTTTATATTATTTTTGAAGTTTTCATTTTATTTCCATACCATTTTCCCTTCAAACAATGATAAAAAGTCTTAGAAATATAATTTTATAGTTATACGTATATATAGATACTTATCTTAAAATTAAATTAAATTTACAATCCAGTTGGACCGGTGTGACCATTGACATAACTGCAATGTCAAGTTAGTGTTCGGCATGGTATTCAAAACATTGATGGCAAGGATAAATTAATATCATCAAGTTTATAAATAAAAAGCATAGATAAACATTACTCATAACAACAAAATATATAGAATCTTAAATTTATATGATTTCATTTTAAACTTACAGAAAAGTCAATTCATTTTATATACTTAATTTTCAGATTTTGATAGTGGTTATTTTCTACCAACATTTTGAAGTTAGAAAACGACATATTAAAATATTACAGTAATTATTATGTAAGTTATTTATATCAAAAATAAAATGAGGGTTTTGTTTAAAAAAAAACTAGAAAATCTATATTTTGTAAAAAAAAAATGGTTATTATTAGTATTACTTATGAAACTTTTACTTGCATTAACTATAATGATTTTATCAATTGTTGTTTTTTTTTTCTATTTAATTTAATACTCCATTTCTTCTGTTTTTAATTATAAGTAACTATACAATATATTATATATATAAACAATATGATTAGAAATTTTGCTTAAAAAACTAGCCGCGCGTAGTGCGGCCAAAAGATCTAGTAACAAGTTAAAAACACTAAAAGGAAACGCACGTGAGAAAAATAATGAAGGTAACACTTGGACAATTCACAAATAAAGGAAAAAAAAAATAAAGAAAACCAGGGCAAAGGGGCAGGAGGGGGAATTGAACACTGCCACAGTGGGGGCATAAACAGAGTATTTACCAAATAAGCTGTATAATCTATGTACACCTCATGTATAAAAATTTACTTAAACTTTTTACTGGGGGCAGCTGCCCCCTTCTTATTCAATTAATAAAAGTTATTCAATTTTCTTAAGAGCTTCTAAACGAGCACTGCGAAGAGTACTCACGATCCTAAGAGCTTTAACGAGCACTGCGAAGAGTATTCACGATCCTAAGAGCTTTAACGAGCACTGCGAAAAGTATTCACGTGAACGAATATTGTTTTCAAAGTTACCTTCGTCAACAAGTTACTAAGTTCAAGATCAAACCCTTGATCTTTGACCGATATAGATTCTGTTCTCCATCAATTAGTATCAGAATCAGAACGTTTCGGGAAA